TCTTCGCTCTCACCCTGGCCTCACTCAGCCTTGCAGCTTGTTAACATGGAAACCTAGTTCTTCTCACCACTTGTATGGCAATTGGTGTCCTGCTTTCCCAGGCTTTGCTGGAGGTGAGCCGATGCTCACTTCCTGTTTTCCTTGGAAGAGTCTGCCTTTCCTTACATTCCAGGCTAGTTGTTTGCTCTGTGATCTCAGCACTCTGATTGAAGATAAGTTAACTGTCAGTCATGAAAGTTGGACTTATGTAAAGAAAGCTGAGTGCCATAGAATTGATGCTTTTGAACTGTGGTGTTGGAGAAGACTCTTGAGAGTCTCTTGGACTGCAAAGAGATCAAACCAGTCCATCCTAAAGGAAATCAGTCCTGAATATTCAATGGAAGGACTGATGCTGAAGCTGAAACTCCAACACTTTGGCCACCTGATGCAAAGAACTGACTCATTGGAGGAGACCCTGATTCTGGGAAAGATTGAAGGTGGGAGGAGAAGGGGACGATGGAGGATGAGATGGTTGGATGGCATCATTGGCTCAATGGAGATGAGTTTGAGAAAGCTTCAGGAGTTGGTGATAGATAGGGAGACCTGGCATGCTGCAGTCCATGGGGTCGCAAAGAGTCAGACATGACTGAGTGACTGAACTGAACTGTCAGTCGTGTCCAACTCTTGTGACCCCATGGACTGTATCCCACCAGGCTCTTCTGTCCTTGGAATTGTCCAGGCAAGGATACTGGAGTGGGTTGCCATTCCCTTCTCCAGGGATAAGTTAAGATCCTTTTAGATTGTTTGTCTTTTTCTTGTTAGGATGGGATTATCTTGGGTGGGAGCTTGTTGTCCTTGTCCGCCCCTGGATGATGAAAAAGTGAGACCAGAGTAGTCAATCCAGAGAACAGTCAAATTACCCCAGATGGCTTGACTTCTTGTCCAGGAAGGACCTGCAGGCCCTGCTCTTACTTTGTCTTATAATGAAGATATATGGGTTGGTTACCCGTGTATTTGAGTGGCTGAGAGCAACCACAGATATTATGCAGTTCCTACTGTGTGCAGTGCTGAGCTTCTGGTGGCATATGACAGGCTGGCAGCAACAGAAACTGAGGCAAGCAGGTTAGCTTACTGTGAGAGCCCAGGGTCCTGCACCAGGGTGAGATTTCCACAAAGTTAGATTGATTCATACATTTGAGGATGAGATGGTTAAATAGCATCATTGATTCCATGGACATGAGTTTGTGCAAACTCTGGGAAATAGTGGAGTACAGGGAAGTCTGACGTGTTGCAGTCCACGGGGTCACAGAGAGTTGGACACGACTTGGCCACTGAACAACAACATAATTCTGAGTTTCACCTTTTTTTTTCCTTGTAATCTTAAGATGTTTTTATTTGGTAAGAATGAAAGTTGCTGACTTGGTGCAGCTCCCTACATACGTATGTGTGGGACTAATGCTGTTACAGTTTTACTTGTGATAGACCTAGCTGAGGACCGCCAGGCAGGGCCCCTGGTATCCTTTGATGTTGACCGGACAACCCTTTAAACACTGCTCTTGATGTCCTGTCACTGTCATTACCCACAGCCTGTCATGTGGGCCTCTTCCTACTCTTGCCCATTATCTTCTTATCTCTGCTTTGTCACTTACTTGCCAAGCTCTTGGGGAATGCCACATCTGCAAAGTGCTCGAGTGCAGGTGAGCAGCTCTCTGGGGCCGAACTGCTGGCCCTTTGCCTTGCGGGGAGGTGTCATTCCACAGGAATGTCATCACGGTGGGCTTGGCTCTTTGAGGTGTCGTAGAGTGTGTGTGGAGGGCCTGCCAGCTCTGTGTTCAGCTCTGCCATGCAAGCATTCCAGGGCAGGTGGCGCTGGGGAATGACGCAAAAAATATTAGAGCCGGGAGCTGGGAGCCTCCATGAGGACAGAAGAGGTGCTGGGCATGTGGAAGCAAATCCACAGGCAATGTCCCCTGTCAGAGGCTGCTTCCTGTCAGGAACTGCCTGTACTTTGAGTTCAGATCCCAGCTGTCATTTCCTGTATTAGAATAAGTTATTTAACCTCCCTGATTCTGCTTCCCCGTCTGAAAATTAAGGCCAGTGATGCCTGCTGTGAAGGGTCATTGTAGGGATTAAATTAAGTGACATCTAAAATGCTGGCACATAGGTGACAAGTAAACCACAGTGGTGTCCGTTTTTATGTGCTGGACTGGCAGTGTGTTAAGTGCTGTAATGTCTGTAGTCCTGGTGAAAGTATAAGCAAGAGCAAATGGCGTGGCTGGAGGAATAGCCCAGGGCAGACAGAACCCTGGACTTGTGAGCAAGGCTGGAGGCTGGGTACCTTCTGACAGTTATTTCCTGTCTGAGCTCTGGTTCCTGCAGCCTGTCTTCCCAAGGCCGCCGCCCTGTTAGGGGCATGTGGCTGCTGTCCTGAGTCTTCCTTTGGAGTTGGCTCGGCTTGGGCTCAGAAGGAGGGTTCCTGTTGCTGAAGTCAGTAGTGCTCATCCCCACCCCTGCCTCCAGAGGCTTGGCTTGGCACTGTTCATCTCCAAGCCATTTTGCAGAAACACTCAGAATTTCCATCCTGTCCTTCCCAGGCAGCAGGCAGAGCCCGACTGGTCACTCCTTGAGGATGCTGGTCATCAGAACAGAGGGCTGCCAGGTTCCCATCCTCCCTCTGGTGGCCTTTTCTGAGGGAGCCAGGGGGACTCAGTGTCAGGAGGAAGGGGAGGGGGTTCTTTGGAAGTAGTGGGTGTAGGCTCCTCCAGAAAGCCTTGTGGGTGATTCGTAGATAAGCGTTTCTCACAGTCCAGCCCTTGAAAGTACAGGCCCAGTTGTCGCTCCCATTTTACAGATGAGGAAGTGGAGGCCCAGAGGGACTAAAACTCTTGCCTAGGGCCACCTAGCCTGTCGAGGTAGAGCTCAGATGTTGGCCAGGGGCTGTCTGAGTCCCTGCTCTTCCCCACTCTGCTCTGTCTCCCAACAGAACAGCCTGGCTCTGGGGGCCACGGTGGTGAAGGCCAGTCAAGGCTTCTGAAACATTTCCCTTTGGGATGGGCTTTGAGAGCTGAAGTGTAACAACTCCTAGAGGACTGGAAGACCCCCAGGCCCCATGGGCCAAGGTCTTAACCATGGCCACAGCAGACAGCGGGCCTGTGGATGTGGCACTGCCCTTGTTTTCAATTATGCTCCTCAGGTTTGTGTCTCATATTCAAGTTCTCTGTAAGCACTGGGGCCTGCATTTTTCCAAGTTCAAATTGACGTGCACTTGAGAGTTTGTTAGCTATGAGATTAGAACACTTTCCTAATAAAGGAAAATATGCAGGTAGAGGCCATGTGCTGAGCTGCCCTTCTTTGCTGGTTGGTACTTGTCTTCTGGGCGGATTTTTTTCAAGGATGCTGAGGCCTGCCCAGGGGAGCATGCCCAGGGCAGAGCCACTGGATTTGTCCCGGAGATGGGCCAACTCAGATGAGATGCCAGCTGGCTGCTGATTCTAGGTGAGCCGCAGTCGTAGCTGGTGTTCTGCCGTGGCTGGGGCTTTGAAGGATGGGGGAGTGCTGGCTGGAGTGCCCTGCGCTCTCTTGTGTTTGGGGAGTTGACAGGCTTTGAGCCCAATGATGTGTCCTGGGTTTAGAGGGGAGAGGAGTGATGAATGCAGGCAGGAGACAGGGAGAGAGATACAGACATGTGGGCGGGAGGCAGGCAGTCTGGCTTTGATTCTTCCCGCTCATGTGTCCTGTCTCTGGAGCTGAGTGGCGGGAGGAACAGGATCGGGGTAGGGCAGGTCCAGGTGTGCAGGAGCACAGAGGAGCTTCTGATTGGGCGTGAGGGGTTGCAGGGTGAATGGATAAGGATGCTTGGAGCAGGGGAAAGGAAGGGCGGATGAGGGGACCCTGGGAGCCGGACACAGGGCAGAGGTGGGAGCAGCGCTGGGGAGGGAGGCAGGCTAGAGCAGCGTCCCCTGTCAAGGGGCTTGAATTTTCTCTCAGAGCCTATGGAGAGCCCTGGAGGACTGGCAAAAGCCAAAGAACAGCGTATAACATTTTGAATGTCTGTCAGTCAAATTGTGGTTGAAAACATTGAGTCCCAAGGATGGCTGCATCTATGGGTTACTGGGGTTTGGGGCTGCTCTCAAAACTGAACTGAAGAGTGTCAGCCTTGCTGAGCATGTCATTCCCACAAGGAATAAGTCCACAGAGGAATTGTATCTTCCTGAGACATCTTGCCACTCTGTCTTTGGGAACCAAGTGGTTCCTGGCATCCTGCTCTGGCTGCACACGTGCACGATGCTTCTAGGGTCTGGAAAAGCCTTTGTGTGCAGAGCAGTGCCTAACTTTGGGGAGACACGCATTGGACTGGATTAGTCCATTTAGGAAATCACTTGTCCAGTGGCGGCGGTGGCAGGGGAGGATGGCTTCTGCATTTGGGGACTGAGGATCTTAGATAGGAGCACCGAGTCCTTCAGGTTCCCGGAGTCTTCTCTGAAGCAGCATGGGGCACCTGTCCTGTGGATGCTGACTCCGCCAGCCATTGGACCAGCACTTTCACAAAGAATCTGTCTCCCCTGGGGATCTGCGCCAGGGCAGGGCTGGACCCTTGCCTTAGTTCTGGACCATCCCAACCCTAGGGTGGGGAGTGGGTGTTGGACTAACTAGGAGGAAGGGTGACTTCAGGGGCCAGCATAGACTTCAGGGGCCCTGGACTCTGAGAGGCCTCACACTGGAGGTTGCAGGTCTTGTGAACAGCTGGCAGCCCCTGACCTCTCTTGAGGACCTCCAAGAGCCCAGCCTGACATCCCTCCCAGGGCCCTGCAGCCTGGACTACGACTGCTTTGATTCCACTACTTGCTCTCAGTCTCTGCTTGGAAAGGAGGGCCCAGAGGTGGAGTCCCGCCCTTGCTCACCAACATTTGGAACTCGTCTTCTCAAGTTTGCTGATGGTTTTCCCCTTGATCCTTTGAGGGGCTCTTTTCCTCAGTGTTTCCTCAAGACTAAAGGGCTCTCTTTCCTTCTATCATTTTCAGCCAGAAGTGGACCCCCTCGTCCCGCCCGGCAGGGGCAGGAGTCAGGAGTCAATGCAGAGCCAATCCCAGGAGCCCGTGAGCATGCCCCAGTCGCTGACCAGCACACTGGAGCACATCGTGGGCCAGTTGGACGTCCTCACCCAGGTAGGCTATGACATAGACTCCCCCCATCATCTGCACTTGGCCTGGCCATTTGGACCATTTGAAGTTGGCCTACTGGTCCTGAGTTTTTAAAAAACATACTTACAGTGTACTTATTTTTCAGCCCAAATAAATGAAATGGCAGTGCCTGCCCTGGGATCCTCTCAGAGCCATTCAATCCCTGGCCAAGCCACTGGACCCCAAAATCACCAACACTGAATCCTGCCAGGGATGCCCACCCAGTGTTAGCTTGGGCCACAACAGAGCTTTGAAAGAAACACTGTCCCTTCCTTTGACTCTTTACTGTGGGCGGGGGGCAGTCCAGGGACATGCCAGGAACTGTGCACAGAGTGTCAAGGCACCAAGAGCCCAGCCAGGCTCTGGGTTTGAGGTGGCACTGCTCCTTACCCCCTGAGCAACCTTGGAGATGCCCCTGTGGCTCTCCAAGCCCTGGTGTGCTTATCTGTCGAGAGCCTGCCATGTTTTGTTTGTTTGCTGCAGCGGGTGTTAGTTGCAGCATGTGGGATCTTTAGTTGTGGCATGTGGGATCTAGTTCCCTGACCCGGAATCGAACCCAAGTCCCCTGCATTGGGAAGCACGGCGTATTAGCCACTGGACCACCAGGGAAGTCCTGAGCCTGCCATATTTATGGTCAGAATTAAAGGAGATGAGTCTGCAAGCAGTGTTTTGTCTGTGCCTACCCCTGGGTAGCTGCTCAATAAATGTTAGTTGCGGCGCTGATCACCCTCATCCGTGAGATCCATGTGGCCCCACCTCCACCAGGCGCGTAAATGCACCTGGCTGCTCATGGACAGTGGTCTCTTAGGTGCAGAGATTTCAGTGAAGCAGAATGCCCTGATGAGAGGTGGCGGCCAGCACCGTGGGATGCCCGGAGGGTCTCTCGTCCTGGGGTAGAGGAGCAGGTCTGCGCAGAGAGCAGCAGCATGCCTCCAGGTCTGGACCAGGGGTGGGGGTGGAGGTGGGGACCACGAGCACATCCAGGCAGTGAGCAGAGTCCAGCACAGCCAGCATGAGGCATGTAGGTGGTGGCGGTGACTGGATGACCGCAGGATTTAAAGGTCCTCAGGCTCCTGCCCGCCTTGGCTTTGGGCACAGACCGCTCTCCTGTGCCAGCTCATTGTAGAGGGAGGGCGCAGGAAGGAGGCAGTGTCCCCTTGAGTCTCTGATGGAGGTGGGGGTGAAGTGGCATGGTGTCTCTTCTGTACCCCTGGCTCCGGGCTAAGTTCGAAGAACTCCTCCACATGGCGTCACATGGCCCATGTGTCACAGCATCCCAGCTAGTACTGCACGCCTTGGACCCACTGCCGGATGGACATTTGGGGGGAAAGGTCATGCATCGGTGACTGGGGGAGATGGTGAAACTGTGTGCACATCACACTGACATCCCTGAGCGCCCTGAGCCCTGGAAGAAAAGGCCTTCTCTGAGAGGGGGAAGAAGCAAAGACTTAGAAAACACCCCCCCACCTCAGAGCCGTCAGAAAGCGCCCAGCCTGCCTCATGTTCTTCACAGCCTCGTCAAGTGAGAGATCAGGGGAGGTGGAATGAATTAGAACTTTATAGGATAAAATTGGAAATCAAGTCTGAGAGGGTGGTTAAAAATAGCCTCATTGCATCCAGAGGAGTATAACACTAAAAACATTTCCTTTCACTGTGTTTTAAAGGCGTACACGGAAGGTTCTGTTATGTGTTAGCAGTCAGGAGTCTGATAGTAACTTCCTAAGAAACTGGCATCTCAGGGAAGAAGTGAGCCTCTCTGCCTTGGCCTGTGGCCGGGCTCACACCTTTCAGCCCCTTTGCAAGTCCAGACGGCGCTGCACGCCTGACCAAAGGCCAAGCCCGTCAGCCAGTCACCCACTGTGCTGGACGGTGTGCGTTCCTGGAAGCTAAAGTGTGGCTTGTTTCTGACGGACTCAACTTGGGTTCCAAGGTGAAGTCCCTATCGAGGTCTTAGAGCGCAACCTGTTTTCGAAATGGTGTGTGTTGGGGAGTGTCTGCACTAAATTGCGTGCCACCTCGGGCTTGGTTGTTGGTTGTTTTCCACGCCCCCGTCCTCTCCTGGAGTTGGGGCTCTCACTAAAGTGTTCAGCCCCAGCCAGAGCTGTCCCATTCAGGTTGGAGGGTCCCTGGCCCCTTCTTTAGGACCAGCCTGGCTGCGGACTGTCCTTTCTGGAGGCTCCCCTCAGGTGTAGAGCTGGATGACCACTGCCATCCTTGTTCCTATGTGGATATCTTAGCTGGGCTCTGCACCTCCTGTGGGTACTGGCCTCAGACGCTGCCCCCTTGGCAGTGCTCCTTACCATCTGACGCACGCCTGTGCTCTGCAGGAGCCGAGGGTGTCTCGGCCACCCCAACACTAACTCCTGCTTAGATCAAAGTCCCCTCTCCCTTACATCACTGCCTCTCCCCTCCCCCACAGGGAAGTCTACTTCTGAGCAGCCTCTGAGAGGGACACGGGCTTCTGTCCTGCTGAACATCCTTCAGGGAGGAAGCCTGGGGATGCAGTGGGCAGTGGCCGGGATGTTTAGTGGAGTCACAGAGTCCCAGGTGACAGCCGGCACCCTGCTGTGGAGGTTCATGGTCCTCAGAGCCTGCCTTCCTGCTGGTGCAACGCGCTGAGTTTATCTGCAGACCAAACCTGACCTTCCTGAAAGTTATGGTTGGACGCTGTGGCTTAGTGCTCTGTGGTCACAACCCAGTGGCCCAGCCTCTGAGGCCACTAGCCAGAAAGCACACCCCCTTGCCCTGGCCCTTCTTTGTGTTGGAGAGACCCCCCTTTGCCCCTGCAGAGTTGCTGTTTGGGGTTTCACTGCCACTGAACTCCTCAGGGCCTTGATCCCACCCAGCCACCTTACACGTCCCTGTTGCTCGTGGGGAGCCGTGGTCTGCCCTTGGGTGTCACGGCTGCTCTGCTCAGCTCAGTGAGCCACTGCCCATTAGCCTGGGTGTACCTGCTCTCCTAGGCCAGGGAGCCAGCTCCATTGCTCATCGTCTGGGTAACTTTGGGCAGGGGACGGGGCTTCCCAGAGCCTCAGCCTTCTCGCATGTGAAGTGGGGACAGCCCAGCCTGCTCGTGTCCTCTGAGCGCAGTGGGAAGCTCCAGGTTTCCTGGGTGCTAGATTGGCGCCAACTGTGAAGCAGGACATGAGGGAGACATTCTCGGGATCCGAGTGGGAATGCACTGGTGTGGTCAGGTGACAGGAGTGGACATGGTGCGGGCCTCTGTGACCGCTGGAGTCCCAGGGATGCTTCTGAGCTGCCAGGAGGCTCTAGTGGTCTGACTAGCCATTAGGATGGGAGGGAGATAAAGAGGAGGTGTTGCCCCCGGTCCAGGAAGTGGCAAGAGGGACCGGGGTGCCTGGAGACTATTGAAAATCAGGTGGCTCAGGGTCGGGGATTGGCACTAGATGGGAGCGTTGAACCCAGATCCAGGCATCTGGGCCAAGACTGAAGCTCTGCAAAGATGTATATACAACTTGTGACAGCCATTCTTTGAACTGAATCATTGTAATGGTTGTTGCGGAAAATATATTCCCTAACAATGAGATTTAGGTTTTACTTTGGGAGACTTCCTGTTTTTCAAAACCCCTCATGGGAATTCTCAAGAGCAGCTAGGGCGGAGATCATGGATGTGGGTGCTGTGTGCCATGTGTGTGCCCTCCCCCGCCTCCCGGCAGCCTATCTTGCCCCCCAACTCCCATTCTGTCCTGCGGCCGCCCTGTCACCGTCCTGCTGGGCCTGCCCCAGTTGTCTCTTCCTGAGATAGATGGCCTGACTGCAGAGGCCTGCATGGGGCCAGAGCAAAGCTCCAACCAGGAGTCAGAAGCCCCAGATGCTTTGGCACAGCCTGCCCCTCTTTCCATCTGTGTGGACTTGGGGAAGCTGTGGTTTCCTCCTCCATGGAGGGGAGACATTAGACCCTGCCCGTCTATCTGTCCCGGAGGTGGGCAGCAGGGGTCGGCATCTCAGGTGGGGCCTGAGACTACTCTTACGGCCTTCTTTCCGTGAGTCACCACTCCCCGCTGCCCCTGGCCGGGCCGCTCCCCTTGTGGCTACTCCGAGAGCAAGGGCTCCAGGTGGACCCCTGCCAGGCCTGCCTGCTTGGTGACAGGCATTCAGTGAGTGTCCGGACAGAGGCCCTGACCTTTCCCTTTGTGTTCTTGTAGGGGTGCTGCCAAATGATTTCAGGGTCCCTTTCCCAGGTGCTGGGAAACTAACCAGTGAGCAGGGAGAGGCTGTTTTCACAGCCAGCGTCCTCACCTCCCACCCTGGCACCCTTTGCTTCCTTTACGGACTCCTGAGTGACAGAGGGTGGGTGGTGTCTGGAAGCTGCGGAGGCCCTGCATCTTCCTCAGAGGCAAGGCCCGAGGTGTGCCCGTGTGGACAGGACGTGGGAGCAGGGGAGGCTGCAGTGAGGGGCCTGGGCCCAGCAGGCGACCAGTGGTTTCGCCTCAGAAACTCACAGCAAAGTTATTTTTGACTCTGGTTTCATGTCTTGCTGCTTTTTAAAAATACCAAGCCATGAAATTCCTGTTCCAACTGTGTTTTTTCATGGCAGCCGTGCTCAAGACTGTGATGTCAGACATTCAGGTTCCTGTGAGTCACGGGGAACGCTGGGCTCCAGGACTGGAACCCGAGCCTTGGGAAGCAGGCGGGGGCGGGCCACCCAGCCCTGCTGGTTAGAAGGTCCAGGTTGTTGTGACTCTGATGACCTAACTCAACAAGGATAAGTATTTTGGCCTGTTTGCTTTGGGGAATTGGATACAGTGACACGTTGCTTTGAGCCCCCCTGCCCGCCATGGTCCCTGCAATTTCCTTTCTGATGGGCTGCTCAGGTGAGGTATCTAGTTCTATCCTGGTGGGAAGGTGTGGGACTCCTGGGCCCACCTGCCATGGACTGAGTTGCCTGACCACTCTGAGGGGCTCTCAGAGTCCCTCTTTCCTGGACAGACCAGCTGCTGTTTGTGGAAACAGACTCCAGATTT